GAGAGAGAGAGAGAGAGAGAGAGAGAGAGAGAGAGAGAGAGAGAGAGAGAGAGAGAACTTCGTGTACGACGTGTAGTGCTATTTCACTGTCATAAAACAGTAGCCAAGCACACATAGGAAGTAGCTAGAGAGGGACAGTTGCAAAGCATGAAGGATGACGGAAGGGCATAGCTGCAAATTTGTGCACCAGCTTATACTAGCCTATGACAACACTGCTCATTCCATAGAAAATTTATAGCAGAACCAATTGACACGGGCGAAAGGGATAGGATAGCACAAAACACTGAGATTTCCTCAATACTGTGGTCACAATGAGATTGCCACAAAATTCTGACAACACGAAAACAAATCTTCTGATTAACTATGAACACACCATCATGTGGAGAGACCATGCGTCCTATTTAGAAGAGACGGAGCATGTAAGAACAGTAGGCAAAGTTCCCCTGCCAAAAACCAAGGGAGGGAGAAAAAACAAACCAAAAAACAATAAACAGGGAAGCAGAAGCAGAAGAAAGCAAATTGTAATGCTTATCCCATAACTGACGAAAACCCCGCAGTTGGCAGATACGTATCACAACGTTCCTTCAAACACCACCTCTCCAGAGCCCAAAAAACTCCCCTGCCTGCTGTCCTTCTGTCCTTCTGTCCTGCTGTCCTGCTGTCCTGCTGTCCTACTCTTTTAATAATACTAAGTAAAATTAGTAAACAGATAATAAACCTCTTTTCTGCTTCCTCAGAACATTCCAGTCCTGCAACTGCCCGCCGCGGCCGAGAGATGGCGACTACATACAAGGAATGCACCAGGAGATGGCATAAATTACGGAATCCTGACAAAGTGAGGTTGTGACAATAAATAACAATAGTGGGATTTTTCAAGTCCGGTCATTGGAAAGCAACAAAGAAAAAAAGGGAAAAAACAAGCGCTTCGGCTCCTTCTGGCTATATAGGGTACCATAGAATTAGAGGGAATTGATAGCGCAACACCCAATAAACTGAGACAATTGGGGTGTGGTACGTGACAGGAGCTAAGGAACTGAAATGTCTATAGAAAGGATACAGGACGACTAAAGATAACAAAAGAACAGGAAGAGCTATAGAATGGCTTTGACCGACTAGAGGTAACCAACGAACAGGGAAGGCCATAGGAAGGCTATTGAATGGCAATAGAATGACTATAGCATCCGACCATGGTAGGACCTAATGACCAAACAAGTTGAAACAACAGAAATATGACGAAAGAGTCATATTCATGGTAGTCATAAATTGACTATAGAATCGCCACTCCGATGCCATTGCTGCTGGCAGCTTTAGGCATCATAAACAAGCTTCTATCGCACCCTAGCTAGTCCAGTGCCCTACGCTTGAGAGACGTTCCTGTCGAGTTATGTGTGGGTGGCATTTCTTTGTCCACAATTTCAGACTGTCTCGGAGGCCGTTACTCTCTCTCTCTCTCTCTCTCTCTCTCTCTCTCTCTCTCTCTCTCTCTCTCTCTCTNCTCTCTCTCTCTCTCTCTCTCTCTCTCTCTCTCTCTCTCTCTTCCCTCCCCCCCCCCCCCCTCCTCCCCCCCCCCCCCCCCTCCCTCTCTCTCTCTCCCCCAAGTGCAAAACTGCTTTCCCTCCTTCCCTCCCTTCCTTCTATTGTCAAGCAGAGAACTGCAATTTCGGCCATTCTGTTGGAGCAATATAATAGATATCGTAAAAAAACAGCAGTCCTATGACATTGTAGCATTCCTGAGGGTGCGAATCCCTCGCTTATAGCTAATTCTATTCCTAAGCACCGATTCTGTTAACTATTCCTTGGTGTTCTGATCTGATCCTGCTAGTCTAAGTGGATTGAACTGCATGTCGACTGCTCTGCATCGGTTCTGAAAGAAGAGTCGATCGACCACAAGAGAAAATATAACAATGGACAATCCTCCCTACACCACATAGACAGACATCACCTTCCTCCCAACACCACATTGACAGACATCGGCAGATCACGCCTGCCTGTCTAGTTTTGGTGCGAAGTTGAAAGTATACTCTCTCCTTGCAAAGTCTGTGGGCTGCTCCGCTGGGCGCTGCTGGTAGCTTATATCCTTGTGTGAGCGAGAGCGAGCGCCTATCGAGTATATAGACGACCACTCTACAATCTACAAATGCCTCAGCACACTCACTTTGCCTGTCAATAATTCCTCCTTTCTTCTTTTTCCCCCCTTTTTTCTCCCCCTGAAGGGGGGTTTACCACTACCCCCTCCTTATTGTCTCCATCTGACCTGTTCATTAACAGGTACATGCGCGCACCGCTCAGCCACATGACTTGTCCACCATTCGCTTGAAAAACAGTTAACGCCGTAAAACCGGTATTCTATATTTCTGAGCGCGCTGGTCAAACGATGGTTCCACGGCCTCTCGGCCGCCTGACACTCACTGCTCATCCCTGACCTCCTCCTCCTCCCAATCCTCCATCTCTTTCTATTTTTAGCTGATTGTTGGATCAATTAAAAACCTACCAGCTTTTACTTGAGAGTATTGACTTGACATGCTGCAGCGGCTTCTGCTGCTGCTGCTTCTGCTGCTTCTGCTGCTTCTGCTGCTGCTGCTGCTTCTGATGATGATGGTTAACACCCACAGAGACCAGAAGTGGCCTTAAACACAAATTCACTCAAGGTCAACGAAGAATTAGAAAAGTTATAGTCTTCACAAGAAAGAAGTGATATAATATATGTATTCTTCATGGCCAATAAGATATGTAGGTGATCCTGCAGCAAAATAACAATGAATTGGGAAAAAGTTATTGTTAGCTGGCTGTCCCTTCTCTCCTTGCTTCAGTCAATGGGCGACAGTTGGAGTAGCATCTGGTGCATCTCAAGCTCACCACTTGGGAAAAGTCAGGAGGGAATTACCTCTTCTTCCCTCTCTCTTAGCTCCGACAGCGATCACAACTTCAACTTCCGGCCAGAAGTCAGTTCTCTCCCTTACTTAAGCTCGGCCAGGAGTCTGACTGTCTGAGCAAGTTTCTCCCTGCTTACTCGAACAATGCTGCATGCACTAACTAAGGAAGATTGTCAAGCAGATGACGGGCGGAAGGACTCGGTAAGAAGCGTACTGTCGTAGTATTTTTAACTATTTTATCATTCATTTATTTATTTCATTATGCGCGTCATCCTTGTGCAGGGGCCTTGCTAATCCTCTCTGTAGTCATTACAATTTGTCGGGTCAGCTAATAGATCAGATTGGGAGAGGCGTGTCCAGGAGTCGGTAGTCGGGAGGTCGTGAACAGATTCTGTAGCCGGAGCTAGTTCACCACAGCAGAAAGAGCTGTGTCCAGGAGTCAGTAGTCGGGAGGTCCCGAACAGATTCTGTGGCAGGAGCTAGTTTGCTACGGCAGGATGAAGTTATGAGCATCATCTTGTCACGTTTCGTTTCCTTTCCTCTCAATCGTTTCGTTCTTTTTTTTGGACCATTTCTCGATTTATGCGTGTCATCCTTGCGCAGGGGCCATGCTAATCTTCTCTGTATCGTTCCAATTTTAACGGATGTCCCGAAGGACGCAATCGTTTCGTTCTACTTTGATGTAAGGCGCTAATTTCGAGACCAAGCTATCATCGTCACTGATTACTGAGCATCCTCAAAATCAACATATTCTTCTTGACACACTTGCAGGAGCGGAACTCTACCGGCTGAGCTACACCCCCATCACCCAAACACTAAATCTAATTCTTTCTCTCATCGAAAAATCAATACATCAACTAAGAAAGGGAAACAAATAAAATAAGTAATGGATGCGATTACGACTACAGTTCTTGGCAGTTGTTTGCGAAATGAATTTGGAGGCCAGCCGATTCCTCTTTTTTGGGCATGGAAAAGGGAGATGGATCCCCGTGAGCACGCATGCAGTTGGGCATGTGTGAAGTTGACAAAGACTGTAGGCCGAAAGGTATCATTATGAATGCGTGGGTGAGCAGGGAAGGGGGGGGGGGAGTTGGGGTGGCATTGGTTGTTTGAACCCAAAACCGGCTATTCGCTAAAGAGCGAAGAAGATGAATGTACAAGCGAAAATGATGGACGCTAAAGGTAGGTAAGACTTTCACAGATCTGACAGGAGGGAGGGCCATCGCCGGGGACAACAGCGTGAGGTAGGCTTTCTCTGGGAACTGCGTAATATCTGAGGGATGGCGTTCTGCAAAAGTAGCAGAAGGTGATGTCCGGTCGATGTGTACCTGCTCGCTTCTTTTTCCATCACGGGCAGGCCACACAGTCGACGGCTATACGGTGCTGTAATGACCGCAGTAATGCCGTAATAATAATCCTCATCTCTGCCATAGAGAGACTTGGCTATCGGATGTAATGTCGATTTCTAGAGGTGTGATAGGATTCGTGAAGCATTTGATGGGATGGATTGAAGGATTGAGTAGCTGTGACTAAGGGAAATAAGGGACGCTGTCCTCCTATGGAAGAGGCAGTATTAAGCCCTTTGAATTCCTCTTTCCGCTACTGCGTGCTCGCTACAAGGGCTGATCTTTGAATCGATCCACTCTGGGTTCAGGTGTCGATGAAAACATCACAACTTTCGTCTGTTTCTTGGCTGACTGTTGGAGGGACATGATCTTCCATGAACCGTCTAGCCAATTGCATAGCAGTGTTTCTGTCCCTCTCGCTCTCCAGTTGAGCATCAGTACCAGCTTTGATCTTTTCTCTGGTATAAACAGTCTGTCCTATCGCGTTCCATTTCCATTTTTCCCGAATGAGTATGATAGGATTCGTTGAGAATCCGATTGGATGAATTGATCGATTAGTTGGGAATGCGGCAATTGAGAAGCCCGAATTCTCCACGCGGAAGAGGCAGTAGTAAAATCGCTTTAAAATTTAAATTCCTCTTTCGCCTACCGCTTGCTTGCTAGAAGGCCTGTTCTTGCATCGACCCGCTCTCGCTTGGCGTGTATGCGAAAACACCGCTACTTTCGTCTGTTTCTTGGCTGACTGATGGAGGGACATGATCTTCTAAGAATCGTCTAGCTAACTGTATGGCAGCGTTTCTCTCCCTCTCGCTCTCCAGTTTGAGCAGTATCCGCTTCGATCTCGTTTGCCAAAGGACCGTCTGCGAAACCATATCGCCTCCACCTGTGGCACCAGAGAGCTGCATGGTTGGGGAGTACAAGTCCCTCACCTTTGTGGTTCGACCTTTACGCAACTTGATTTTGTCCTTGGAAATCTCAAGGACGTGCACAGATCTCTTCTCTGTGAACTCCGAGTTCTGCTCCAGCACGACGCAATTGAAGTGTGCCCTTCCGTACTTCTGCAGAACGTCAACGAAGTGTTCTAGACCAGGAGATGGATCCAATGGCCCCGACGATTCTAGAATCTCCATGTGCCGATCGTACTTGAGCGTCACCCGGAGTTTCGCACCCACGTCATATGGCTCGGGAGCATAGCGCACTGTGGTGGCTCCAACGATGCTTTCCACTTTTCCATCTGGATGGATTCTATACCACTGGATATCACAAGGGTGGGGAAGTTTGCCTTCCGGTGCACTTGGCATGATATACAGGGTGCTGCCCAAAAACTCCAAGCCCTCTAAGCGGTATGGCGGCTCCCGCTTCTTCGGGTTCTTCAGAGCGTCAATCTCTCTCCTCAGTCTGACAACTTCCTGAGCCTTCTCCATTAGTCCCTTCTCCATGCCTGCTACTTGCAGCTCTAAGTGTGAGACCATCGTCGGCTGGTGCAGCATTTTGATTCGCCTGGCTTCTATCAGCTCCTTCTTCAGTTCCTCGATCTGGGCTTGCTGATCTTTCCCTCCGAAGCTTCCAGAAGCCAACACCTCTCGTGTGATTTCCTCTGCTCTCCTCACCTTCTCTCGCGCCAACCCTATCTCCTCTTGCGCCATTAGGCGGGCCTCATCGACCATCCTTGTGGCATCGTCATGCGCTTGCTTGAAGAGAGCAGCCATCTTTCTGACTTCCGTCTTCTCCTTCTGCATCTCGTTCTCTCTTGCTGTCCAATGCCCAAGCGAGGCCTCGCAGCCTCTCCAAGCTTCAGCAACGTCCTCCTCGCGAATCTTATCCACATTTTTCAACATCTCACTCAGCCTCTTCGTCACTGACTGCAGCATCTGCGTGCCCAGCTGGGTCCGCTTGTTTCCCTGCTGTCCACCCAGCTCATCCGCAATCTTGCTGTACGCTGCGCCTGCTGCAGCCTGCCCCTTCTCAAAGCTGTGTTGCAGATCTCTCATCCCTTCTGGAACACGCCTTTGTTGCAAGGCTAGTTCTGCGACTTCCCTAGCAAGCAATGCACGAGTGGTGGGAGTCATCGGCTCTTCAGCGTCCAGATCCATGGATTCTGTTGAGATTGAGGACATATGGCTCCTTGTACGGAGCAAGTCCCCGGATCTGGAACTCGCTGTTGATGCTTGGATACTGATCGTCCGGCTTGGTCCGCTCCTTTCGCTGCCGGCAACGGCGGAGCCATAACGGGACTTGGAGCTCGGCAATCGTATGGGCTCTGTGCTTGGACCTGACGAGGACCGAGGGTTCGGGGGTCTTGAAAGGTCTATAAGTGGGGTTGATCGCAGGCTTGAGCCTCTTCCCAGTTCATCCTGACCGCCATTTGATTGCAAGCTGGACATTCTTGACAGCTCTGTTCGTGGCGTAGGCGCTGCACTCCTGCTGCCATTCCTTGCCTCGGCACCAGGCGAACTAGCGAACGCAGACCTTCCGCCTCTAGAAAATGTCTCTGTTGAAGGGCCGGACGACCTGTCACCTCTTGAGAATGTCTCCGTCGCTGGACCTGCTGACCTGTCACCTCTGGAAAATGTCTCCGTTGCTGGACCCGCCGACCTGTCGCCTCTAGAAAACATCTCCGTCGAAGGACCCGCTGACCTGTCGCCTCTAGAAAACGTCTCCGTCGAAGGACCCGCTGACCTGTCNCCTCTAGAAAACGTCTCCGTCGAAGGACCCGCTGACCTGTCGCCTCTATAAAATGTCTCCGTCGAAGGACCCGCGGACTTGTCGCCTCTAGAAAACATGTCCGTTGCTGGAACGACCGATCTGTCACCTTTAGAAAAATTCTCTGTCACCGGGCCGGAGGATGGTCTATCCCCTCTGAAAAATGTCTCTGTTATGGGGCCTGAATCAGACCTGCCATTGCCTCTGGAGAATACCTCTGTTGCCGGGCCAGCTGATCTAGTAGATATTCCTCCATGCTCTGATCTGACACTTGGCGACTGCGCCAACTCCGGACGATCGAGCTTTGAAATGGAGACCTTACCGAGGGCGCCTGTGGTGTCTGCGGAGCCACTCGGTCGCCATCTGGCTGAGCCAGGAGATTTCAGAAAAGTCAACATCTTTGAACGCACTGCCGAGCGCTGGACGAGACTGAAGACGTGATGGTGCTTTCCCGCAATGACCTAAGACGAGGAAGCGTCCCCTGCCCGGCAACTCATTTGACACATTCTGTTTTCCTACCCCCTCTGCACAAATCACAAATCAAAAGGGAAAGAGTCAGATCTGTCGGGCATGCAACTTGCAACATAATTATGCCAGGAGCAAGTTACGCGTCCTCGGGAAAGCGAGAAAAATTAGAGAATTGTTGTTCCCTTCTAACGAATAGTTGTTTTCAAAATGGAAACACACAGCTTCAGTCCTTCACTGTAGCATCATCACACAATGGACCGGTGCCTCCTTCAGTAGTTACTACCTACCCTCAGAAATCTCGGAACATTAAAAACGGAAACACAAACACAAACACAAACACAGACACAAACACAAAGACAAACACAAACACAAACACAAACACAAACACAAACACAAACACAAACACAAACACAGCGACTTACAATCAACCCCAGGCAGGAGACATCTTTACACTGTTTACAGGCCGTGGAGGATAAAGCAATTAAAACTTAAAAGCATAGAGTTTTAACTTTTAAGTTTGATCGGATTACAATCAGTGCATACAACCAGCAGAGCATCAAACCGACAAAATGTTAGAAAAGAAAATGCTCAACAGCCTTTGCCTTACCATGCATTTCAAGGGTTCGTTCCATCCTTCGCTTATTCCAATTATATAGGTGATGACTTAGCAGAGAGTCGGCACATACATCTCTTCTTCCTGGGCTACTACAAAATATCATGAGCGATATGTCTTTCGCTGGCTGAATCAATTGCAATGAACCCAATCTCTTTGAGAAGCCAATCAGTAATGCCACACAAATCTGAACCCAGCACTCAACATGAAGTCTCCAAAGACGATTGCAAGTCCCTATCTTGATTGAAGGCACATGATTTCAGGAGTTGCGAATATGGATAGGGGGGAGAAAAGACAGTGAAGAGGAAGTGAAGAGTTACATTAATAATAATAATCCATAATACAAGTACGCCACTCTCCACCTTCCACTTCTTCTTCGGGCATCTCCCACCTTCACCACCTCATCAATGCATGCTCTCCCTCTGGCGATCACTGACGTAGTGTCCCATACCGTAAAGGTGCAGACCAGAACAAGAACCGACCTCTCTCACATAGTACAAGATAGCACAGCGGAAGTCTTAAATACCAATGATCCGAACAATCAATGTTGCCATGCAGATCCGACATACATCATCATCATTCCATGGTATGAAGGGGCCTGGCGCTCACACAGGAAGCATGCGCCGGTCCCCAACCATACACAGACGAAGAGGAGGGGGGTTAGACGAAGAAGAGGGGAAGATGGGAATGTCGTCAACTCCAAGTCTTAGGTACAGGTCCCAAATAACCCCTCGTCAAATGTCTGAATCCCAATGTCGAGTCTGGATCCAAATGTCGTCAAGTCCCAACGTCACCAATCTCTCTCTCTCTCTTAGTCTGCAGATACTGAGAAGTCAGGTAGCGAGAGGGTGAGGAGGAGATGGTGGACTTAGAAGAGGAAGAAGAAGAACTCTCTCTCTCTCAGTCCGGTACTGACCTGTGAAGGTGGCGCCTTGTTGCAGGTACATCGAAGACGAAGCTGGAGCTATGGCGCCACAGGTAAGTCTCCCTGGCCTCCGCCAACCATCTCTCTTTCTCCACTACTACTCTAGCTCCTAATAGCGCCCAGCGCTGAAGACTACTGCTAACGCTAACGCTACTACTACTACTGCAGCGCTCCTCCAGAGTGCTGCTGCCGAATCCTGAAGACTGCCTCCTGCCTCCTGCACGCGAAGTGCCTGGGAAGTTCCTAGGAACTACCTCGTGACCGTCTCCTGACTGCATGCGGACTGCAGGGCGGGCCAGTCTTATATAGTGCTGGCCCGTCCAGGAGGCTGCTCTTGCCAATGCCAAAACGTGCCAGACCCTGGTGTTGAAGTTCAAACAAAGGTTGTCTTGAAAACAGGCCAAAAATGGCCTGTGCTAAGAGCCCTGGTCTGGTGCCTAAGTTTCAGGGCAGGTCGACTTTAAGAGGGCCTGAAAATGGCCCTCGTTTTCAGGCTTTTAGGCTGAAACGACACAGGGCCTGGAGGCCCTCGTTTTCAGGCTTTCAGGCTGAAACGACACAGGGCCTGTAGGCCGTTGTTTTCAGGCTTTCAGACTGAAAACGACACAGGGCCTGTAGGCCCTTGTTTTCAGGCTTTCAGGCTGAAAACGACACAGGGCCTGTAGAGCCCTTACTTTCCTTGTTTGGTCGGGCGTTGCAGGCCCGTGTGGATGCGCAGTATGCCACACATAGTCACTGTGCAGATTCCACCAGAGCGCCCATCCTCCTTCCACGCTCCACGTCGAGCTATGGAGGATGGCACAGTGCTTCCTCAACTTCCCGTAGACCATCCGCAGCTCATCACATTGGCAACAGGTAAGTCCAGGTAAGCTTCCCGTTGAACCTCCCATCAATCTCACATACTGGATACTCCTCCTCCACACACAACTCTCCAGCTACAGCTGCGGCGGCTATGGCCGCTCCAACATGTCTTCCTACAAGGCTGGCGCCCTGCAGTAACATCCGGCGCCAGCATCTCCGAGTCCTCACGCCAGCCTCGCGTGCAGCAGCTTGGCCGTGAGCCACAGCAAGGCACGATGAGTCTCCCCTCGGCCTGGACTTCTCTTTTTATAGCATTCACTGGCATTAACCAGCCTCGTCGACGGCCGAAGTTTTCTTGAAATCGATTGCCTGGATGCCATGCTGTCCCAAATGTGCCGTGTTCGTATTGGAACTGGAATCTTCTGGAAACCTGCAGACAACCTTTGATGTGCATCTGATCTACGTCCGTGGTCGACTGATCGGGGACTTTGACTTTGGCCCTCTGCATTTCCCGTGCTGGGTCTGAAAAGACTCTGAATCTTGATTTCCCAAGAGTCAAGTACTTGCCGTGGGGGTACTGGATGCAGCTTTTGACTCAGGGCTTCGCACCCCTTCACCCTGGGGACTTTCTCAGACCGCTACAGGACACAGGACGGGACCATTCACCCCTCTTTCTGCCCTTTTACCAAAGTTTCTACCCTGCCTTTGACTCCTGCCGGATGTGAACTGAGTTATTTCAAAATGGTTGCCCTCATCATGGTCGTAATGCGCATGCAATGCATGTCTTCCATTTTGAGACCACAGTAGAACCATGTTTTTTCTTTTTTTTTTAGTTTTAATATATCGTCAAACAGACCCGGCCGGTAAACCAGAGGCAGATAGGGAGAATTGGACAACAAACGACGGGTTGTGACAAACTAACGAAACATCCGCCGGTGATTCTGTCTGAGGTGATACGAGCATCCCCGGCTAGTACCCACCCTGCAGATGGCTCCGGTCTATTGGTGGGGATCTGCACCTGCTGGAAACTGGGTCCACCATCCCTTTTAATACCAGGAACAATTGTTCTACTGGGGTCACTACCCGGCTGCGGCTGCAACAGACATTGTAGACACTTTTGATCGGACTAGCCTCCAACGCCCCTCCGGGGGCGCCTGCATATCCCCACTACTGAACATGCTATTTTGATGCTAGACTACCACACTCGGAGGGGAGGGCGGTTGGTCATGCACTGAGACGTCCACCTGCCGGTGATGTGCTCCCCTCCCCAAATCTTGTTGGTGGGGCCAGTTAAACCACCAGTACTTAACCCAGCCATAGGCCGTGGAAAAAAAATAGAGTAGAAACATTTCTAGTCGGATGAATATGGGCGCTCCTGTAGTGGCGCGTACATTTCCTAAACTTGTGGCTTGTTAACGGGCACGACCTTAGGAAGTACCGGTGGTTTAAACCGTATCCCCCCTTCTCTATGTACTTGAGTAGGACCAATGTTCTTAATCTTTTCTCTTTTCCTTTTCATCTCCTGCAACCACCTGCGTCAGTATCTCATAATGTGCCCACAAGGAAGCGCGCGCACACACACACACACACACACACACACACACA